CCTGGACTACTTCTCTTGGCTATCACACCCTCGAGTATGGAGCTCTCAGTGCCTTCTCTAGGTCTCTTACACTCAATTGCTGTAGTTCGATCTTGCTGTTAGTTCTGTGAGTCCTAAAATAGGATGTGCAATGCAACCATTTGTATATCAATTTATTTTTCCAGTGGTTTTTATTTTGGTGAGACAGTGCATGGAACAAAACGACTTTATCCCTGTGACTTCGTTTGTGAGGTTGACGATAGCCCTTCACCCAGCTGTCTGTGGAGCCAGGGTGAGGAAATCAAATGTCCAGGCCCTGACCCAGCCGGAAGACTGTCTCTCTGAATGTTCAACCGAATACATTAGCGTGTCTGAAATGAAAGAAAGTTCTTAGAATACAGTGTCCTAGACTTGATAGCCAGTTTTCAAATGATTATTTGCCCAAAGATACCAGTGTTTTAAAATTTACTATGTAAAGTTCATATTTATATAGAATTGCAGTAAGTAAAATTACCCATAAATAAAACTTTCAGAAACTCAAAGCTTTTCATTATAAGCCAAAATTACCACCTCAAACATTTTAAGGATTTTGGATAAAAATAACTGTAAAAACTAGTGTACATGTCTCTACCTTCTTCAATAGAACATTTAGGATATTTTCCCTTAGCTTGATGACTCAGAGTCATCATTTTGAATATTAATTTCTTTTCAAATCTGCAACAAACTCTTGTTATAAAGTTGCTGAGGTATTAGTGTTAGTTCCCCATGATACAAAAATGACCTAGATTGCTATCCTTTTCAGAATATTGGCTCCTCTTTTATATGTCTGGCGTCTTTGCAGCTATCATTTATTTCTATCTCCACTAGACCTAATGCTATACTTTACCCCACTTCCACATTTCGCACGAGTTTTGACCTGATATATATTGATATACTAAGTAAACATTCTAGTTGGAATTTTGTCTAAAATAATAGCAAATGGGTGTTGAATAAGAAATGATATAATCTCGTTAAATAAGAGGTTTATTTACTGCATAACTTTTTATATTTTTGCTGGTTCTTCAAACACCTTTCAACTTATTTCCTGGTTCTTTGCTAGGTGTCAGAGGGTTCAGATTGTTGAGACTGAGTGTGGCCTTATAAACCGTAGTGGTCTGGAGCAGAGAGGGAAGAGGCAGCAATTAGAACTTGACCGGCTCCCTGGAGTTGGGCCATCATCCCAGGACAGATTCGGTGGTGGGCAGTGGGGATCAGTGCACACCAGCTCAGAGCACTGTGGCCAAAATCCAGAATTCTGCTGCTACATCTGCTGGAGGACCTTTTTTAAGGTCCCATAGCCATTTTTCTTAATTAAGTTCATTTTTCATGATTATCTCTTTGATCGCTTCCAGATTTTAAAAGTTGAAGAATAATGGCATTTACCTTAGAGAGCATTCTGCCCTTTTCAGTATGTAGGCAGTTCTAGTTCTTCCACAGCTATATTTCCTGACGGGTACATTTAGTCTACTGAAGAATGAAACTTCTGTGCAATTTTTATGGATGCATATTATAAATCAATTTTTACCACCCAGTTCATTCCAATTTTTTTTTAAAAAAACAAACAACTCCTGACTACATGTAGTTTAAATATTTAAGTAGGTTTCTTATTACTGCCCTAGGCATAAAGCCAGCTAGCTTGTTATTGGGAGCTACTCAGAGATCATGCTTTCTGTTTTCCATATATTTGGGCTAGTGCTTTGGTCAACTCCTCACTTTAGACTCTGTGTTTACTAATACCTGTTAATAACGGTCAAAATTATGTTGCATCTGGATCCATAGAAAGGGTCTTTGAGAGATAGGACCAAACATGATGAACTTTCTTTGTTTCAGCTAATAAGCATGGGATATGCCCAGAGAAGTACAAAATTACTCCCTCTGATTATTTAATGTGTAAAAGTAAACCCATGTCAGTCAGACACATGAAAATGTTTTATTTATGAATCCCTTTAGATGCTTCCTCACACTTTTTTCGAGTTTGCACCTGGTGCACATCCCATTGGATTCCAAGCATTTCACGTCTGAGATCATGTCTCCTATTTCATTCCTTGCTCCTCCATCACCACCTCTCACCCCCCTGTTTCTTGGTGGAACTTGGTACCTTGCTTTATCTTCATAATTTTTACCAGCTGACAAGGCAATATGCTGACTCTGATTGATAGTTTCTGGGAGGAGGAATACCCAGTGCAGGAGGGGCATGGCTGCCGACAGGAAGCTTCAGCCCCTTGACTTAGCCTAAAGGAACATTTGGAAAAAGAGATAGAAAGTGAAACAAGGAGAGAATCATCAGATAAAGATAGAATTGAGAATTATTTTATTTGCCCTTTGCAGACTACTCTTCCTTTTCAACTGAAATCTTCAAGGGCAGAATCCTGCCATGTCTATCTTGGTGTTTAGCACTGAAGTAAGACTCAGTACTTGCTGGTGGTGAAAAGAATGAATCCTTGGCAGGCCTCCCCTATCAGGTCTTGCTCACTACTTTGGGTCTGCAACAATCCAATAGCACGGAGGAGACCCAGTTGGATATAACTTTTTAATAAAATACTTATTTTTAATAATTTTCTTGAAAAATAATAATTGCTTCACCTTATTATTTTCTTTTATTTATCCAGTACTTATGTCTAAGGCACTGCTCCATGTGATAGCAATACAGCAATGAATGGCATCTTTTACCATATGCCAGATACTGTTAAATAACTTGGGGTTTGTTTAGAGCAGCGGTTCTCAACTTGTGGGTTGCGACCCCTTTGGGGGTCGAACGACCCTTTCACAGGGGTCAATTAAGACCATCGGAAAATACATATATATTACATATTGTTTTTGTGATTAATCACTATGCTTTAATTATGTTCAATTTGTAACAATGACATTGGGGGTCACCACAACATGAAGAACTATATTAAAGGGTCGCAGCATTAGGAAGGTTGAGAACCACTGGTTTAGAGCATGTTGATTAAAACCCCTGTGGCATGGGCATTTTCCTCAGTTTAAAAATTAAGTTTCAGAGAGTCAAAACCTAATTAACTTTTGTAGGATCTTACAGGTGGGGAGCAGAAAACGGGAGTCAAAACCAAGTTTAACTGACTCAAAGTTTATTCTGCTAATTATTTGGCTTTACCACTTCTAGACCATGAGTAAAGAAATGGGAACACCTAAATCAGAACCTGATCTGTAAGAATATGTCTAATAAATGATAATAGCTTCTCCTGAACAATTTTTGAGAGCCTACTTCTTTGACCTACATGCATAGCAACCTATTTCCCCCCAAATTAAATCCACCACAAATTGTCTTAACTAGGAATGATTTGATTAAATCCTGTAAATGACTTTTTGAGAAGCATCCTAAATGTGCATTGTTCACACTCATTCTCATTTGTCCACAGTCTATGTGCCAATGACAGCAAATATATCTATATCAGGGCACTGTGGACAGTTTATAAATGAAACAAAGTAGGTCATTTTTTATCCAGGTTACTTAATAATCTTTTCATTGCCTCAAAAAAAAAATGCACTGAGAGCTAGCTATGCACCAGCCACTTCAGTGGGATGCAAAAATAAGACAGACAAGAACCCTGCTCTTACATATGGGAACCAGGGAAACAAAAGTGAAATCCACGGATCATTTCTGATGATGATAACTGTTATGGGGAAAAAAGTGTGAGGGCTCTTTGAGTAGGGTGAGCGTAGGATAGGAAGGGGGAAGGCCTCACGGGAGAGATGCTATTTGAGCTGAGTCCTGCATGGTGAAAAAGAGTCAGCCATGTGAAGATTTACAAAATAGAAAATTCAAGACCAAAAGCAAGAACAAAATTCATTTTAACAACAGAAAAAAAGGCAAAAAGGGCTTTTGTATCTGCATCAGAGTGAGCTGAGGGGAGAGGCAAGAGATACAGTTAGAGAGATAGGCATGGTCCAAATCACACGGGGCCCTACATGTACAACCTTGTAATGCATTGTCCAAACAAAGACATATATAAGAATTAAAGGGGATGTTCTTAATAATTACACCAGACAATAGGTAGAAAGCCAGAATTTCCCAGGTACACCAGGATTTATAGTTACCCCACTTATATGCCAGGGTAAATAATTTTAATTTTATTACAGTATAGTCATTAGCCTTTAGATGGTATTAAGTAGGAAAATGAAATAATTTTATTTGTATTTATAAATAACCTCATTGACCACTGTATGAAGGTTAACTCCTGAAATGGGAGATCAGTTTTAGAGACTAATGAAATAATCCTGGTAAGAGGTGATACTGGCTTGAATGGTAGTAATATAGTTGAAAAGAAACTCAGTAATTTGGGATACATTTTGTAGATAATGTAGATAAGACATTGGTTGGATGTAGGCATGAGGGGAAGATAAGAATAAAAGTGGCTGCTAAGTTTTTGGCTCCAGCTTCTGGATGAATTATGCTACTATTCGCTGATTATGGAAAGACTGACAGAGGCATTGGTTTCAGAAGATGATAGGGAATGAATGGAATCAACAGTCTGGGTTTGACTCTATTAAGTTTGAGATTCCTGTTAAAAATACAAGTGGAGCCTGGCTGGCATGCCTCAGTGGTTGAGCTTCAACCCATGAACCAGGAGTTCATAGTTCAATTCCTGGTGGGGGCACATTCCCAGTTGCAGGCTAGATCCACAGTAGGGGGCATGTAGGAGCAGCCAATCAGTGATTCTCTCTCACCATTGATGTTTCTATCTCTCCCTTCTCCTCCTCTCTGAAACCAATAAAAAGATATTTTTAAAAAAAGAAATACAAGTAGAGATGTTAAGTAAGTATCTGAAATAGGATATATTCTCTTTTCTTTCTCCACAATAGAACAGCTTTCTCACAATGTTATTTGTATCCTCAATAAAACAATTTAAACTGACATTCAAATATTCTATTAAAGTGATTTTTCACTTAACCCCTTCAGTTACATTTTGTATTCATTTTCTGGTGTTTAAAATTGCTAACATTACCAATTGCCTTTCTAGGAAAGCGTAGACCTGGGTGAAATCATGTTTTCCCTTTGTTATTTGCCAACTGCTGGACGTATGACATTGACAGTCATCAAGTGCAGAAATCTGAAGGCTATGGATATTACTGGCGCATCAGGTATGCACACAAGTGGTTAGTGAGCCAAGGATACATTCCCAAATAAAATAGTACATGTACCTACCCAAAAGTATGTGTAGTGATGGAATTAATGAGTTCATTTGTCTGTATTGGGGTACTATAAAAGTGGAAAAAGAGGTTACCAACTAAAGTGCTCCAAATCACCTTTTATTTGTATTATCATCACAAAATTTTTTTTAAAATATATTTTATTGATTTTTCACAGGGAGGAAGGGAGAGAGATAGAGAGTTAGAAACATCGATGAGAGAGAAACATCGATCAGCTGCCTCCTGCACATCTCCCACTGGGGATGTGCCCACAACCCAGGCACATGCCCTTGACCAGAATCGAACCTGGGTCCTTTCAGTCCGCAGGCCGATGCTCTATCCACTGAGCCAAACCAGTTTCGGCCATCACAAAGTTTTTAAAAGGTATTACCAAATAGATTGACTTTGAATTTGGGTTTTTATTTATATTTCTTCCTCTACTGATTAACTCTTTCTGAAAAGTGTGTGATTTACCATCCACTTCCCTACTTTCAGCTAACCACTTGCTTATAAAAGAAGATTCTTGGACTTGAAGGCATGCCCTTCGAACTTGCATTAGTCTATGACTGGAGGCCACTTGAAAACATATTTAGACTGAATTTATTTCCCAACCTGATCTGCAGAGGAATAACCAGGTTTCAAGACCACCATTTGCATTTGCATTCTTACTACCTAACTAAAAATTTGCCAGTAATTGGAAGTATGTTCTAAAGGATGGAAAGAAATAATAAAATAAATAAATGCTTCTTGAAGTTTCTTAAAAACATTCTTGAAGGAAATTTTTGTGTGTGCTAACTTTGTTAGTGTTAAAGCCACATCGTTCTTTTATCCCTTCACTTACATCACTGCAGTTCTGGAGGATTATTTATAGCTGAATATGTGACCTTTGGCATACTCTGGGGGAGGAAAAATGAGAGCAGAGTAGGGAGGTCAGTAACCATTTGTTGAAATGAACAGAAATAACAAATAGTAATGGAGATACAGTAAAGTATGACATGGGGATGGGCAATTTATAAGGTTGTGGTTCTTAAGAACAAAAATGCCCCCTACATTTGCATTATAAAAAACCTGAAGAAACTCTAAATTCTGGTGTGGAAAGAGGGACAGGATTTAGTATATAAATTAAAAGAATGAGATGCAAATGTAAGTATGGATATCATGCTCCCTTCTATGTAAGAATGGGAATTTTTAGGATATATGTTCATGTTGCTGATATTTGCATAAATAAGTACTGGAGTGGTACACAAAAAAATTGGGGTTGGAGTTGAGAGGTATGGAGACAGATGGGAGGGAGACTTCTTATTGCACAACCTTTTCTAGCAATTTGACTTTTGAACTATGTCATGATTTACTATTTATTTATTGTATTTGTTGCCATTTTATTGTTCATATTTATTTTATTTTTTCTAATCTTTACTGTTGAAAGTATTACATATGTCCCTTTTTCCCCCCATTGACCCCCTACAGCCCACTCCCACTACCCGCCCCAGGCCCTCACCAGCCCACTGTCTGAATTCATGGGCCTATTCATTTTTTTAAAATTTGCAATACATAGTTGATACATAAATGTAGAAAGAAAGTAAGTAAATTCCACATTTATTTTTAAATAACCCAAGAAAAATTATTGGGTCAACAAATGTTGAAGAACTTCAGTTAAACAGTGTACTCACAAATTACTGTTTATTCTATTTCTTTCTACCATGAATCAAAAGAGATCAAATTTTGAGACAAGCAAACAGCATCAAAGTTGTAATTAAGTACAAGATTACTTTTTATTTATATGAAGCTTTTTATGAGATGAGTGCGTGCTTTGAGAACACCACCTCATTAATTCTCACAAAAGGCTTGTGTATCAACTCAGGAGCCGGTAAATTATCCTTGTCATGAGTAGAGTAGAGAAATGTCATCAGAGACATGATGGGGGCATGGAAGGGTAAATCAGGGCTTGTTCCCATTGTTAATGAAATGCCTAGGCCTCTGGGCTCATACACAAAAATAGATCACAAAAATGAGCTTCTTCCTTAGAACATATTTCCAGTTATTGAAAAATCTAAATATATACACATATTATTATTTTTTGCAAAATAAATAAATAAAAATAAATGGAAAACAGCCATTGAACACTGTCCTTTCACCATGTTTTCTTCTCCATACCTCAGTTCTAGCCACAAAATATGTTTTTAACCCTTGGAGGATATGCTTATAAAATACATAGATGCATTTTTCTAGAGCTCAAAAAACATTAATTTGCTCAACTAAATTAATATTGCCATCATTTTGGCCTATTCTAAGGAAATAAGATGTATTATTACATTGGTGGAAAGAGAAAAGGTGGTGGTGCTATAGTTGGAGGATGACCAGAAAATAAAAACATAAAGATAGAGCTTAGAAATGGATTATTTTAACCATCTACCATGCCAACACCCCTTTCCAAAGCCATGCCTCCTTTTTATAAAAAAGTAAAGGCTTTTAAAGAAACTTTTGTGTAATACTACATAACTTTCTATAGTACTGTAACAGGAGTAAGAGTATAGACAATAAGCTGGGCAGACCTTGTTAAGATCCCTTGGCCCATAAAAATATAACCCAATTAAATTTTTCTCTTTCCAGTTGGCATCATATAAACAATGTCATAACAGAAACCTTCCTTGTGGCCATCTTTGAGGCACATATTGCCCTCTTTTTGTATACTCTTGAGCATCTAATAATTATGTGTAGTAATCATTTCTTCAATCTGAAGTCTTTATTAAGCACTAATGCTATGATTAAAATGAGACCTCTGATTGTAGTATCTTTTCCAACGATTGAAGAAAATGCCAGCTGATGTAGTTGTTGCTTTCTAATTTCAACTTGTGATTATACATACTGGTCTAGATAGTGTTGCTCTTTCATACGTTTTAGTATTCTTATTATAAATTATTTTGAAAGAAATTAACTTTAATATAATTATCCTTACTTGTTAAAATTCCATTCCTTAGAAATCACTTCTAACAAGCTGTGTCCTCAAAATAGCTGTGACATTATAGCTCTGGATTGGCTCTTGAGAAATGAGTTTTCTCTGTTATGGTACGAATAGTGAGATCAAGTTAATTATTTTCAAGTTTGTTCAAGATAAATGCTTTTATTTAAAGTAAGAAGTCCTAGAGAGTCTACTGCCCCCAAGTAAATCATTGGAATTTAAAACTCGTAATACTAACTAGCTTAAATGCCACTTTTCTTTGTAACAACTAACAGCAATTTTATTTCTACTTTGTACCATTACTTTTATTTTAACAAAATGACCTTCCCACTCCTAGATCCTTATGTCAAAGTGTCTCTGATGTGTGAGGGTCGAAGATTAAAAAAGAGGAAAACAACTACAAAGAAAAACACTCTAAACCCTGTGTACAATGAGGCCATTATTTTTGACATTCCTCCGGAGAATGTGGAGCAGGTCAGCCTCTCCATCGCGGTCATGGATTATGACAGGTACGTGTATCTCTGTACTCACTGATGAACAGTCATGTTCAAGTTATATGCAAACCATAGTCCACTATAGCGGTTTTAATGTCAATTGGAAGAGGAAAAAGTTATTCCTTCAAAACTCATTTATTCCATGTTATAATACTTCTTTTTTTTCTTCTTCTTCTCCAAAAGAAGTCACTGTTAAGTTGAAGAATGGGACACCTGGGGCTGGTGAAAGAATGGGTACAGACAGACGCAGTATGGAGCACATTATAGAAAGCACTGTGTGAAGCCTTTTGACAGTGACAACAGAAATTAAAATCAACGGAGTTTGTTTTCCCAACTGGGCTGGAATATGAATATTATGGTTCTTATCAGAGCTCTATCATTAACTGGCTGTGTGAAAGGGAAAGTTATGCAATCTCCTGGGGATTTGCTTTTCCCGTTTGTAAAACATCAGCATAATATGGAACTGTGAACAGTGAGCATTAAGAGGAGAAGTTGAATAGCGGCCATAGGAATGCAGCCTTGATGCTCTGACATCTATCTTAAAACATTGCTTTGTGGACAGCTCTTCCAGCTCACACACACGGAGTCACTTGTCCTTTCATGAGAGAAATTGCAAACTCCCAGGTACAGCTCTGAAGGTTCCTCCTACTGCAGCCCTAACCTTTATCTTCCCACCCTTCCCGTGTCTGAGATAGTATCACCTTGCTCTGTGTATCTCATCCCACCCATGCCGTACAGTCCTGCTCAAGTCACCACTTCTGTGTCTTTCTCCGCTAACCCGCCTCTTCTTCCTCTCAACTCTTGTCCCACCTTAAACATTCATAACTCTTCTTTGGTCCTTGCTCTATACTTCTTTCTATTGTTTTGCTTTTCATATTGATAAATTCTTTTTGGAAAGGACTATTGTATGTTTAACCGACAAAATTATCAGCAATAGACAGTATCTTGTTACATTTATTTTGTTCTAATAATAACACAAGTGGAACGGAACACACATATATAAATATTTTAAAAGAGTGTCATCTGTATAGGACCATGAAAATGGTAGTAACCAGGACCCTATAACCTTGAGAAATTAATATGCTATCTTCTGGCTCAGAGCTAACAAAATGAAGCAGTGAAAAATAAAACGACATGTATCATCTAATATTTGAAATTAAATTATATCACAGTTTACAGAGAAAGCTATCCTAAGAAAGAGAGCGCTCTTGAGTCCATTGAAATTTCAAAAGCTAAACATGTTGTGCTGTTTTCATTGGTAGCCCTTGTCCTGCTTTACCAAGAAAATGACTCCTATTGATTTCTCACCACAGTGATTGCAGGGAGATCCAATTGAGGATTTGTCATTCAGACAAGTTTAGGGAAATGGATCCTGCCATACAAAACAGGAAGATGAAAAAAAAACACTTATTTTTAAAAGTATGTTTGGCCCTAACCAGTTTGGCTCAGTGGACAGAGAACTGGCCTGGAGACTGAATGGTCCCAGGTTCGATTCCTGCCAAGGGCATGTACCTTGGTTGCGGGCATATCCCCGGTGGGGCGTGTGCAGGAGGCAGGCTGATCGATGTTTCTCTCTCATCGATGTTTCTAACTCTCTATCCCTCTCTCTTCCTCTCTGTGAAAAATCAATAAAATATATTTTTTTTAAAAGTATGTTTGTTTGGGAAACTTAATATTGAAGAAAATGATAGTAAACATAAAAATCAATATCAATGACAGGAAGAAAGTAATGAAATGTCCTAAAAAATCATCTCAAAGTCTTCTTAGAGATGTCTGTCAAAATAACCTTTAGAAATGCCTTTAAATTATACTCCATTCTTGAGAAGCAACCTAACCACTTGTACACTTGCATCCATTGTCTCAATTCAAATGCTGCCTCGACCTTTTACTAAGCGTATAAAGGCAGGCAGGTCCCTGCACTTCGGGGTGTTTGTCTCTGTCTGTAAAATGAGATGATGGTGATGATATTCATTGTCTTGGTGGGAGGATTTAGTGAGGCAGTACCTTTAAATTATTTAGAACAGTGTCTGGCATATAATAAGCTCCCAAATTATTAATCGTCATTTTTATTTTGATTTGTTGCTGTAAAAACAGGACATGGATGGAAAATAGGAATGTTGTTCAGTATGCTGTGCTGCTATGCAATGATAAGTCAAGTTTTGTGGTATTGAACATAGCCTTGCCCTGTTTAATTATAGTACAAGTATTATAACATTCACTGACATATCATTTAGTCAATTAAATATGGTCATTTATACCAAAAAAAAGTGGATATTGAGGTCTTGGTGAGAAATATGAGCATCATTACAAAACACTAAGCCTTGTGGAAAGAACAAGATTGTGATTCACATCACTTAATGTTAATTGGATTGCTTCCAAGAAAGAAACTCATCATATAGGTAAGGACCAGCTGGCATTCGTCATTCACACGATGTCTATTATTGTGCAACGTGCTCAAGTTACGGAGCACTAAAATGGTTTGTATGTGCACCTTTACAAATTCATTTTCGAATGCTGCTTCTGTTTAGTAACTTTTAGTTTACTTAATTTTTTTTTTACTTGCCCTAAGTAATTTGATCTGCAAAATCATTTAGAACCTGCCACAAAATCTAGTGTTTTAATCATATGTTTAAAATTCTGCTAAGATGTGTGAAATTCCATGTATCTTTGAATATGGAAATGAAAACGTAACATTCTCTGAATTGCAGGGTAGGACACAATGAGGTCATAGGGGTGTGTAGAACAGGACTGGACGCTGAGGGCCTTGGGCGAGACCACTGGAATGAAATGCTGGCCTATCACCGAAAACCAATAACACATTGGCACCCCTTGCTGGAGGTGAGCGTGATTCCCTGACACCTACTCTCTATTTAAAATCTCTTTTGCTTAAATATGTTATCTCTAACCATTCTCTGATGTTTTATATATTCACCTATTTTTTTAAAAAAAAGCACCACACCGATGTTGCTCTTGCTTTGTCCCAGAGACTCTGTCATCCAGTATTCAAAGTTCTGTGTGTCTTGTTGGATTCCCCAAAATCACTCAAATTCCTTTGGACAGTAAGCCCCTAAAAACTGCAAGTCTATTGTTTTCTTTGCATAGTGGGGAAACTTACATCAGTGAATGGTGGGGCGCTCCAGTAAATCCATTCCTAACTGGAAAAGGAATGTTGGTGCTTTTCTTTTGAGAAAACTGCCACCTCACCTAAACTTCTCCAGAAACCCTAAATAGAGGTCCTGTCAATGAATACCACTCATCTGTGTAAAAGGACAGGTATATCTACCCCAACTCTGGCCAGGAAGTAAAAGTGCTCACAGATTTTTTAAGTATAGAGGCGTCAGCTTGCTTGAGACCAAAGCGTGCCTGTGCTGTGTGACTACATATTGGAAAAGCTTGGGGCGAGTTACTTTAACCTAAGTTCTGCTATGACTCTGTAATAGTAGTAAACTGAGAGAGTAAAACTAAATAAAAGGCTGAATGTTGAATTCTTAGCCCTGAGTGTGACGCAGTGTTAGCTTTGATTATAATAATAGGTTATTTAACCAGAATGGATTTCGATACCGGCTTCTATCTGGATTTTTAGCCATAAAGTTAATTGTCAGTCTACTGGAAACACTGAATGTTGCTAGATGAAAAGGCAATTGCCGGAGCCTCTGGGAGAGTCACAGAGTAAGTCATTGATCTGGCCTAGTTAACTGAAAGGTGATGCATGTTGGCAAAAGGATTTGTGGCAGATGATGGAATTTATGCAGTTCAATAAAAAGAACAGTTATGATAACCACATGGTAAGTAGATGATGTATTGCTATCTCGCTGAGGTTACGATTCTGCTTCTTGTTCTGGCACTGCGTGCAGTGTAATTAACTATTAAATGTCAACGGGCTCAGGTTCTAATCTTAGCTTAGTCACAAAAATGTGACCTTGACCATGTTACTCAGGACATGATAGAGAAAACTGGATGAATGTGGTGTGAATATTGCATGCCCAGATAACAGAGGTGAACTGCCATCATAGATACCTGCGTATATGTGTGTGTTTCACACGTTGACCTCACATCATCATTTAAAAGTCAGACACTTACACAAATGCACATGTGCACAGCACTTTCCCCTAAAGTGGTTCAGAAAGATAGACAATATATCCTCTAAATATTTCAGTGAGTCTTGAGAAGGTTGTATTTTATTTCAACAGTGTTTTTTGTCTAAAGTATACTCTACTGCTTATTGTACATTTACGATCATTTTCCTGACTTTCATCTTTGTTTTTATTTAAGGATTGAAAAGTGAATATTAATTTCTTTTCTTTTTAAAATATGTTTTTATTGATTTTTTTAAAGAGAGAGAGATGAAAGGAAAGGGATAGAGAGATAGAAAGACTGATGAGAAGGAGAAACATCAATGGGCTGCCTCCTGCTCACCCTCCACTGGGGATCATGCCCACAACCTGGGCATGTGCCCCAAACGGAAATCAAACCAGTGATCCCTGGTTCACACCCGCTGGGTGCAAAGTATATATTAATTTTAAGAATCTAGACATGGGAGTAAAATTTGCTGGGCAGAGAACCACACTGACGGGGAGACGTGGATTCTAATCCTTGCTCCTCTGGCTGGATAATCCTGGGCAGACCACTCACTCTGCCTACGGTTGCATTTCTCCAGAGTTAATGAAAATGGAAATGCATGCCCCTCAGACTTCACAGGGATTATGTAGGGAGAAATGAGGTAACGTGAGCAAGAACTTTAATGAAAGGGCATATGTTGTGCAACCCAGGGCATATGATAATGACATATGGCTGTTTAATAATGACATATGACTGTTTACATTTATCTGATGAAGGGGAGCTATGGGCTAGGCATGTGTTTGTGTCAGTCATTGTAGGATATACAAGAAAAATAAGCTGTAATATGGATATCAGAAGATCCCAGATATTTTTCTAGCAGTGGAGTATCAGAGGACAAGTGGACTAAAATATTATGTAAATATACTTTCTCCAGCAAACAGCACCTTTTTTCCAACTCCTGTAACCTACATTCAATGGTCAAACAGAACATATGGACTAGAGACCTAAGAACTGGCTGGATTTTGCACTGTGGGAAAGTGATGTGTGTGTAATTATGTGTTTTGTTGCCAGAGAAAAGATTAAAATTAGAAGGGAACAATTCGAGAGCTGGGTAAGTTGGTGGGACAGAGACTAAAGCATCATTTAGAAAATCTGGTTACTTCTACTTAGATAATCACGACTTTATTCTGTTGTAACTAAACTTTTAAAATACACATAATATTTGGGGACTAAGAGAAGTTACTCTTCATCACGTGTGGCTCCCATTTGCCGATCTTAGTCCCTGTTATCTCATGAATTGCTCCTATAAAAGACACTTCCTGCTTTAGAGCCAGGGAAATGCAGTCTCTTGTGTCTTGAATCTCGTATTGCATTTACCTAGCAATTGCCCCCGCCCATTACAGTAAACCAATAATTACTTTACAATAAGAACTAAGCACCTGTCATAGAATGTGAAAGGAATAGTTGCCCATGCCTGGCTGCTCTGCATACCATCTGTGTACCACACCCTGCCTACATCTCTATGAGATATTTGTGTCCTCGCATGTGCCCTGAGGAGTTGAGTTGTGGAGGGCAGGGGGCGTTATGTATATTTTCTCTTCAGAGGCTTACATATCATGAGTGAATATTCACTGTTAAAAGGTAGCAACAGCCTGGCCAGTGTGGCTTAATAGTTGAGTGTTGACCTATGAACCAGGAGATCAAGGTTCAATTCCCAGTCAGGGCACGTGCCCAGGTTGCAGGCTTGATCTACAGTAGGAGGAGTGCAGGGGGCAGCTAATTGATGTTTCTACCTCTCTCTCTCATCATTGATGTCTCTCTCTCTCTCTCTCTCTCTCTCTCTCTCTCTCTCTCTCTCTCTCCCTCCCTCCCTCTCCCTTTTTCCCTGAAATCAATAAAAATAATTTTTTTAAATAAATAAAAGGTAGCAATAATTGCCCACTTTATTTTTATACTAGGTCATACATTATGAAATTATTGTCTTTCAGTTACCTGGCCGGGCGAATAGTTTTGATAGTCAAGGATCCTGTTCATCTCCCAAACCACCTTCCACACCGTAATGCCTCCAAAATAAGATCATTGTCGTGAGGAACCAGGACATGTGCTCATCAGATCAGAAAAAAAGCAGAAGGTTTGATTTCCTCATTTAAAATATATCCTGGTAGTAAACGAACTTGTGCAATTTTTCATTTACTTTTTTGTCTGTGTATTCACTTTGGACATCTTGATATACTTTACTTGAAAACAGATAGTCCTTACTTCCACGAGGCGTTTTATTCTTCTGGTCACATGCCAATTAGCACAGAGTGTTTTATTAAGTTGTAATTCTTTGAATAAGCAAAGAAATACATTTTAAAAAAGAATTGATACTTATCTAAATTTTAATAGAGTCTATGCTGCTATTATATAAAGTAGCACGCCACATATGTATGGTTTGGATTTTATTAAGCTGTTCATTTCTCATTATGCACATATTTCTATATAAGCTTTAATGGAAATTTTGAACGTAATTTGCACAGGATTAAATCCTTGTGCCATCAAATTAACGTTACTTTTCTGATAATCTTTCATTCTCAGTAAATTATTTTCTTGATGAGGTTTGGCTCTGCTAAACTCAGAACGTTGTCTCTCAAGCTTATTGTTTAAAACATACAGTTAAAGCTATAATTTAAAGAAACATTTTGAATATAAAAAGTAATATTTAGTAACTGGAAAGTGGAGGTTGAGCCACTTGGGCTACCATTTTATACCGCCATAATGTTACATTAGTTCACACATCTGTTACACTGTTTAACTGATATTTTAAAATTCTAATAATCTTAATCTCAAATGTAGCACTAGTATTCTTAAATGAATAGAATTAGAATTTGTTCATTTTTTGTGTTCGTAAGGTTTTCAAGTACTGTGATGTATATTTTGTGACATGAAGCGTTTGTGTAGATCTTGTGTTTCTGACAGACCATACTAACAGACACCAAAGGTACAATAAATGTCTGTGCTCATTGTCATTTAGGTTGTACACAGTACTGGTGACTTTCAAACCCAATCAGAAGCTAATTGTTAAAATTGGGTATTTTCTTAAAGAAAAGGATGACCTATTTTTCAGCAAACTATAGAAATATACCATAAATAATACAATTTCACCATTTAATAAAAATAAATTCTGACAGCCCAGACCCACAGTCCTTTCATAAAAGGCATTTGCCTTAAATAAGGATCAAGGATCAGGCCACTAGCGGTAAAAACTATGCAAATGTTTTTACAAGACAGAACTTTCTTTTACATCATGTCAACTTTTTATTGTCGTACTTCTCGGCCCTCTTGGAAGGTATCTATATTGAACAACCCGACCTTGCTTTGAGATTTGTACTGTGGATAGTGCATATTTCAAGCTTATCCCAAGATAGGAGGTTAAAAGAATACAACAAAAGGCAAGAAAATCTGTACTTAATATATTAAAACACCTTCATCAAAATGAGAAATTTGTATTAGGAATTACAAAATTTTTATCCCATATTTCTAAATATTAAAAAATAAAAAGTTTTAAAAGATTTGAAATTTTGTTTATTGGCCTCTCTCATAAATGATGGCATCACTGTTCGTTAAGATGGAATTTACACTTTTAACATTATAAAGGCAAACACAATTTCCTACAATTTTTCAAATGCTTGTTACCATCCTAATGAAAACGAGTATTTCTAGCCAATTTTCTAATTGAAAACTATAGAAGAAACGTGTTTGAAAATACCTGGCTGTCTTATCAAGCCTAAAAGAATCATTGCTGTAGACAGAATCACTGAATACGACACTCCCATTTTGGAATTCTTTATTTTACTGAGAAATAACAATTGTCATATGGAAAGACAAGTTATCCTCTTAATAAAATGACATTTTTAGAGGCACTTGTTTTATTAGTTGATGTAGCTGAAGCTTACAATTAATTAGTAACTATATTTCCTAAGTGAGTATAATAATTATTTTCTTCTGCAAAGATATTTTCAGGACTGTATACTCATTCTTAAAGCTCATGCTTTTCTTTGCCTCATATAAAGAAAAAGCCAGTGCTTGTGATGACAAGTAAGATGCCATCAGCCAAACAGGATTATAGATTAAAATAAGTCTTAAAGACAATATTTAAGAAATATTTCCCATGGATTAAAATAAACTCAGCATGCCGGAGGATTTGTTAAATCTGTGATGCCAGAGGAATTGTTAATTCTGCGTGAGGGATTAAGGAGAGAAAATTCACCACAAGTCGTCTTTCATGCAATACATGAGAGAGGTTTACACTCATATTGATAAAGCATAATCATTTAAAATGATAGTTCATATTATAAAATTGTAATCCCACCACTTTTCAATACAACACCTCCTCACTCTACACAGCCACACACGTTCATACAACCAGAATGTATCCTCTTTCTACTTGTGATTGAAGGTGAACTGTGTTTAAAATAAGGTTTGATGTTACAGATTTCCTCCACTAGTTTGTGTGGGATACCACATTTCAATGATAACACTGACACATTATGAAGTTGCAGCTTAGGTATGTAGTGAATACCTAATTTTCAGGGATTTATTCAGGGACTTGCCAAACTTAAGTCTAGGAAAAAGGAGCCAATGTTGATTCATTCGCATAACAACACCGATATTCTTTTGGGGTCATTTATTTATGTATTTATTTTACCTGATTCATTAAGTGATCAGAAGAATGAGGAAACTGAATATGAAAAGAGCATTAGTGTTTGTGGAATATGTAATCTCACAGAATTCTCAACAATTGACTTTTTTTTTTTTTACACTGGCTCCTTAAAAATATTTTTCTTGACAATTTTAATTTTTTGGTCAGACCAGCTCTGTTTCTGGTACTTTATTTACATGCAAAACTCATGTTATTCATACATTCACAATTGAGTGAATATTTCACCCAGATTTTTGCCAGGGAATAAGACACAGGAAGGCAGAGCCAAGCACCCACTTTCTTATGCTGTTTTGGGGAGTGAGTGCATGTTCTAGTTACTGCAGGGAGATCACACTGATCAATACTGACTCAGGTTTTAGATAAAAGCAAATATATTTGAACCTGTTTGGTTGTGATATTTAATTGACATTTTCACCTGTGTTTATTCTCCTGTGATGTTTATTATTTAAACATTTTGCAGACTCGGTAAAGAACTATCAATGTCTTGAGGCTTTCACTTAATGATTAACTGTTTCAAAAATGAAAAAGCCAAATTTCGGCTGTTTTATCAAATTTTACTATCCATAAAACAAATTGTGAGTTATTTCAGAATGAGTTATCCAAAGAGCCAAAGGACTATTACAAATAAAAAGATACAAAATCTTAACATTGAACACGTGGTAATTTCTTAAATTACTTCTTTAAAAAGAGTACTTGATATTATCTCAGAATGAATGTTTTCATAGACTGGAGTTCCATGTGAATTTTTTTTTTTTGCTACCTTAGTTGTGACTATTATCAGGTAATTTAATAACCCGATAATTTTAAAAAGAAAACTAGAGTTGATAAGGATGTAACAAAGAGATTCTCTTAAATCTAAGTGAAAATGTGGAGATCTGTTTTCTTTACAACTTGTTTTTGAAACAACTCCAGTTATTCCAAGGTACTTCAATTGATACACTCAGTTTCCAGGCCAAAAATATATTGCTGCCAATAAGAAATTATACAAAAGCAAGAAACATAAAATAAAGTAAGAATCTATATAAATAAGTGGTAAACGAATGCGTTATAGCATATGGAAATAAACACATTTGAGTGCAAAACAAAAAACTCCTTGGTATTTTAACTTTTTATGGAAAGTGAATCCTCTAATATTATTCCAAAAACAGCAACCCATGACACAGTATTTCATTAGTTAGTAAAATGGCTCAGGAAATTATTCATCTGTACCTATTATGACCCATAATGTAAAGAAAATAGTGAATTTGAATTTTACATAGGCAGCAGAGCTGATTAAACTAAATGATGTTTCTAATACGTTATTCAGTGATCCTCTTTAAAGTAAGAATTTTCGCTTTTATTAAAAGATTTCCTACATTGACTCAATCCTACATTAATTAGAGTGAATTGTAATTTAATAAAAGATGCATTGTCTTCTACCATTAACAGTTCACCAAAAATATGTATATTTGAACAGAGGCATTTAACTAATATTCAGTTCAAATGTTTCTCATCAAAGTAAAGAATTGTTTTTATTTTTGCCCTGTTCATCATGAAGATAGGTAACCAGGGTTTGACTTGATGGGATGACAATTTCATGCCATAGGGACTTTTAAAAAATCAGTAAATTAAGGTTTGAGATGGGATTTAATGATTTATTGAATGCCAACATTTTAAATACTAGAAATAGTGATTGGAAGAAAAAGTGGAAGATGTTTAAGAGAAAAACAGATGTTTTCCTGCCTGAAATGATTTAAATATACCCCTACAAGGAGGAATTGATTAGAATAATCCTATTTTTATCCATGCTGACACACTGGAAGTGACTTGATATTGACTGATCTAGAGATGAAGATAGTATTGATATGGAAACACTTTCATCTCAAACTGACAATAACTTCTAAGCTCGCCTGGGTCAAGAGAACCTCTCCAAAGAGCAAACTATGCCTGATCTTGTCATGAAAGGGTAAAAATAGGCCATTTTCTTTGGAAATTTTGTTGTGATTTGCATCTGCTATGCACAGAATCCTTATTTACTGTACAGGTTGGTGGATTTCAATTATTCAATTTCATGTTTTGTTCCCTCAAAAACTAATTTGTTAGAAAACAATGCATGTTATAGAAATGAGTCAAAATTGTTAAGAGAAGTCTCAATGTTGAAAGATAAATACATTGGATTTTTGTCTTTTTCTGTCTTTCAAAGAAAATTTTCCCCATTTGAACACCAATACATGAAATTATGTTTAACTAGAATTTTGCTGTAGAATAAAGTTTGTGAACCAAAAATATCCCTATCATTCCTAAAGCTATGTGCAAATTGGCCATAGAATCATTTACTATAAAAATTGCGTGTTTTTTTCAATTTATGTAGATTGTGGGTTTTATTATAAATCTTTTTGTTTTTTTTCTTTAAAAAGACCCTCTAAGCTTTCTATTTTAACAAAACACAATAACCCCCAGTGTGACTAGCTTTATAAATTCTATAACTGTATAAG